GCATATCGCTCTAAAACTAAACGTTTCGGGGCTGTAACCGTGTTATAACCGTGTTATAACCGTGTTATAAACAAACCCCGCCGCGTATATCAACAAACTTTGCAAAGCGATTTCGGTATATTTTTGTTTCGGTACATTTCCAGTAGATGGAATTCATTTCCAGTAGTTACTTCTTTCACAGCAGGCCCGTGGGCATAGAAATAATATCAAGAGCGTATTAAGAAGTATTATCCTTCTTAAAGTGATTACGTCACGAATTTCTAGTAGTATATTTGTGTGTTATTTGTACAAAATAAAATGTATGGAAATACAAGTAGTGTTTCTGTTTACTTTTCATGCTTATATACCTTCTTTATATGCCCTAATCTGCCGGTGAAAAACAGAGAGACGCCAGTTTCTGAACAGTACTGGGGGAATTGTGTTAGACAACAGAAATTACCAAATCGTCTAGATTTTTGCAAATTTAACCAACGTAAAAACATTTTTATCCGGTGAGAGTTTGAAGATATATTTAGTAACGTTAGTTCTTACTTTTAATGTAAAAAAATTGCATTTTTTTTTTACAAATTTTACCATGGAAAATTCGTGACGTAGTTGCGTAGTTACGCTCTTGATATTATCAGGAGTGTATCAATAGGAGTGAGACAGACTAAAACCGGCAAAATTCAACATTTATTAGCCTTAGTCTACCTATGATTTATTGTGTTTACTTCGATAAACTTGAGCTCAAGTCTTGCCTTAATCATTAAACTTTATCCGTGTCTAATCGTTGGTCTCACAAAAATGACAAATCGGGAGATATCGGTCCAAACGTACAATGTGGTTTTTGAAAGTTATATCCCATTTTCTCGCTCTCTCTCTCTCTCTCTCTCTCTCTATCTCTACCCATAGTCCTCTCTAGGCTTCATCGAGTGGCAGACGCTAGAGCCTATAATGTGCGGAAGTGAAGTCCTGGATTTTTCAATACGGACGAGATACTAAGAGTACTCAGAGTATTCCCACCGCAACATCACTGCTGCGAACGCACCGCACTTCTAGCTGACTTTAACCGACAGGGGGCGCGCGCGTACGGGATGACGCCAACGTGATTATTAGCAACCGGCTCACGTCGACCGCCGCAGCTGTGTATGTATATGCATTACTGACCCGCCAAGATATTAGAGGTGCCCCTTAATAGAAGACACGTAATTTACATCGGATCGCCCCTACTGAATGCAAAGTGGCGTCACTGCTGCAAGGCAAAACTGCTGGCAAAAAAAACACAGACTGAGTGTCTTGCTAATGGCACGCTCGCGAGCGAAATTTGCGAGCATCTATATATGGATGGCTTCAGAGCGTGTGAGAGAGAGCATAAAGAAAGCTGCGTGCTGGCGTGAATGCAGATTACGTATAGCGGAGACGAGCTTACGACGAAAGAACGGTGCGGTGTGAACGCGGTGGGGACAAGGTGGCTGCTCGGTAGCAGGAAGAGATAATGAATGAGGGGGAGAAACTTGTGCGGAAGTATAGAGCCTGTTAGAGCATGCATAGTAGAGCATGCTGTTTCATTTTCTTCTTCTACTTTTAGTCTCCTCCGTTTAGTCTTCTTCTTCTTCTTCTTTTGGTCTTTTTCTTCTTCTTCTTCTTTTGGTCTTTTTCTTCTTCTTCTTCTTCTTTTGGTCTTCTTATTGTTCTTTTAGACTTCTTTTTCTTCCTTTAGTCTTCTTCTTCTTCTTCCTTTAGCCTTCTTCTTCTTTCTTCTTCGTCAGAAGAGATCATGAATGAAGGGGAAGAAGCTTGTGCGGAAGTATAGAGCCTGTTAGAGCATGCATAGTCGTGCATGTGAGTTATTCCTTATCTCCTATTGCTCTATCGTAATTAGTAAAATGCGGCATTGGAATGCGAATTTATCATATCAAACTACGGCTGAGCACGTGCTCCCCACTTTAGGTGTATAATTTCTATGTTATATATTTTGATTGATATCTAGTCAATAATCTCTCTATATTAACTAGTAGTACATATAGATCAGTGTATCTGTTATCGCTATGACTATATTAGGAGTATATGATGTAGATTCTATATTACACACTCCCGATTATATTATATCCATAGAAGTGAAGAGAGAACGTTTCTTGAAGAGAGTTCTCTCTTCACTTAGAACTCTTCTTGAAGAGAGTTCTCTCTTCACTTCTTGAAGAGAGTTCTCTCTTCACTTAGAACTCTTCTTGAAGAGAGTTCTCTCTTCACTTCTTGAAGAGAGTTCTCTCTTCACTTAGAACTCTTCTTGAAGAGAGTTCTCTCTTCACTTCTTGAAGAGAGTTCTCTCTTCACTTAGAACTCTTCTTGAAGAGAG